GTGGCCAGCTGAGGAATAGCAATGGCTGTTGTCACCGTCTGCCTGTAGACTCATTTTGGTTTGGCCTGCTGAATGTTGTAAAAATCCAAAAATTGAAAGAAAAAAAAGATCTGCTACAAATCAAAAGTTTTCAAATAAAAACCCAGATTTCCAGTAGCTTTTAGAAAGTTCAGACGCTCTGGAGGGTGCTTTTGCCGCAACACCTGGCAGGGTCTGAGATGCGTCTGCCGCCCTTAGATCAGGCGTTTGCTCTGCAGGTCACCCTGGTGCTCCCCACTGCCTGGGGTCACCCAGGGTGAGGGGGCCCAGGGCTGGTTGCCTTTTATCATGGGATCTGAAGAGGAAAACCTCTCTGTATCCATGTGGCTATGAAGAGTGGGAAATGAACCCTGTTACTTATTTGCATTGTGAGCCTGGGCTACATAGTGAGTTCAAGGCCAGTCTGAATTACACTGCAAGACCATGTCTCAAAAAACAAACAAACAAACAAAAATATTGAGGAAGAGGGCTGCGCTGAGCTAGAAATTCTGGTGCTCCCCCATTCACCGTGGCCTCGAACAAGTTACTTAACTTGGTGTCATAAAAAGGATATTAAAATCATGCTACCTTTTAGAGATGTGGTGAGGGTAAAATTAAAAAGTGCAAACAAATTATTTTGCAAAATGTTTAGCACGTGGTAAACACTCGACAAATGTCAGCTCTAATTATTTGCAACTGGGTGAAAGGTGGGATCATTTATCTCTAAGAACATTGCCGAGTCCATGTTCTGCGATTTTATGTCTCATTCATCTCTATTTCCTCCCTCCAAGAAGTTACTGAAAAGAGAGAAAATGAGTGAATTTCAATCTCATTTTCTTTTATTGCTTCTCTCCCACTCCCGCCAAAGCACCACTAACTCAGAAACAGCCACTGGCTAACTATGTGAATGATAGACTTTATTTTTAGCTCCCTCTATAACCTCTTGTACCAAATTTCCTAAAGTCTGCTGAAGTCACAGAAGATCTGCTTGTCTGAAAATGTTTGGTCCCCTCTACTGCTGCTGGTTGCCCTGAGACCTTTTATTGGTAGTGATGACATCAATGGGCCAAATCAAGTTCAAGATCAATCAGCTTCTTACGAAATGAACCTGGCAGAAGCAGACAGACGAATATGAAATGCTGAGCCATTACACTGAGAGACTTCTTTTTCAAATGTGGGATGAATATGTGCTGGCTGGATGGGCTGCTGTGCTTGTAGTTTTATGGCTAAATTTGATAGAGAAGGAAAAGTCATCAGAGGAGCATGAGTTTGTCCTTTTTCTAGCAGAAGCTGGTGGAGGCAGACATTGCATAATATATATCTATACCTCCTTCCTCTTCCAAAATCCCTGCTTGGGCAGAATATCAATGTGCCCAGCCAATCATACTTCCTCATTCCCCTTTTTTGCAGCTGCTTCTGAACAATGAAACAAGGGCAGACTTCTTGTTACACGAGAATGATAAGCCCTTTGCTTGTTTAAGTAATTATTTATCAGATGTTCTGTTACTTCTGGTCCAATAGAATCCTATCTGATTCACGGGCCAGCTACTTACTAGGTGTCTCCATTCCAGGAGACCATGTGCCCACGTGCAAGCCCTTCTCAAGCCTTTGCTTGCCCCAAGCCTGCTAATGACCAAGCCCATCCCTAGGGGAGGGAACTCCTCAAGAATCCTCTAATCATCCACAGGGATGCTGTGGTGTGATATATTCTCTCTGCGGTTGGCAAGACTGTAAAAGGCCCCAAGCTTCCTCTATACAGTGGGATGTTTTTCACAACATCTTCATGATTTCATTTTCCTTCAGTCCTCTCTTTCCTCTCCCTATAACCACCCTTCCCCCAAAAGAAAGGACAAAAAGTTCTGGTCTGTTCAAAGGTTCTACAAAAGCATCACAATGAATTAGGATCTAGGAATGAGAATCTTTTTATCTATTTATGTTTTTTTGTACCAGGGATCAAACTTAGGACCTCGCACTTACCAGGCAGGCATGGCACCAGTGAGCTACATCCCTGGCCAAGAGTCTTTTAAACTAGTGTTGCTGAGGAGCCACTAAGCAAGAGAATAGTGATGGGAAGTAAGGCAAGGACAGGCTGATTGGGGCTGGCAGTTTCGATCTCTAGTTTTCAAGGCTGCTTATTTTCCAGCTAGGTCTTATTTTCAGGGATGCAAGGTATCACATTTTAGTTCTTTTTATTCCACTTTCTATCACCTCCTTTCTCTCTCCTTCCCTCTCTGGCTCCCCTTCCATTTGCAAAAGATCTACCATATCTCCCTGTTTCTCATTGACTATCCTTTATTTTATTTTTTAAAAATAATTTATACCTTGTGCTCATAGAAGAGATGTAATGCAATATTTAAGTTTATGTGTCTGAGTTATTTCACTTAACATTATGATCTCAAGGTACCTGTATTTTTCTACAAATGACTAAAGTTTATTTTTCTTTATAGCATAATAGTACTCCATTGTGTGTAAATACCACATTTTCTTTATCCATTTATCTGTTCATGGATGTACAGATTGTTTCCTTGAAAGATTTTTGAGTTGTAATTTCTATTTTAACCTCTCTCTGAATTTTCCTCCTTTTACCATTTCTCCTCACTTGCCATTTATTGCCTTTCCATAAAATGTGCTTTTTGTTATCTTTCCTCTGTCCACAGTTCTGTCTTATCCAGAGCCTTCTCAGCCTCATCAAATAATACCTGGCCCTTTGTTTACACAGTGCTTATAAAATCCACCTCTTTAAAACTCAAACTTGACCCAGGAATGGTAAAATGGTAGCAGATTCATCCACATTTCTGTGGGTTTAGATCCAGGACTCGGACTCTACTCCTTCCTAACATCTCAGGTCAAAGTTTGATTCCAAATGCCACTGCTTCTGTATTCCAGGAAGCTGCTCAGGACCCAGAGTCTTCACATGGAGCAATATTCTAGCATGTGAGGCTCAGATATGCCACCGAGTCCCTCTAAAGGGACACATCTGGGCCACACTTGGGCATGCATCCAGGCAGTGATTCTAACATGCAGCCCTTGGGGTAGCTCCCCACAAACTTGTTCCCAGGGCAAAAGTACAGGCCCCACCCTGACCTAAGAACACTGTCGTGGTGGGCCCAGCAGTCTGTGTGCTGACCGATGTCCAGGCAGGCCAGTGACACTTCCGTTTGACGACCACCAGCACAGAGCCAGCCCACACTGGGAAGCCTGTGGTTCCTGTTTGAGCTAAGCAGAGCTAGTGGACACCTTCTCAAGGGGCAGCTGCTTCTGCTGTCTTTTACATTTTCCAAAGTCACTCAGGTCTGCAGGTTCATGATTCCCAAGGTGGCCCATTACCAGCGCCACCTAAGGAGCGCTTCGGCCTCCCCCCAAGTCCCAGTGAGCAGGTCCAGGTGGGAGTCTGGACACCAGTGCACCTCTAATGAGCTCCCAGGCGATGCCAGTAATCAAGCAGTTCTGGCAGCATTAGTAGAAAGTACCTGCTAACCTGTGCGCTTCTTTCTGCCTCCCACTAAGCAGAGGGCAGGCAATTTGGCAGCTGTATTTCTGGAAAAACCTGCTTGCAAGCCTTCTGATTCTGCCACAGGTGTCAGAGGGACACAGAGAGGCAAGGGCACTGTTGTGGGGGAGGGGACACACTTGTCTGCAAACTGCCCCTCCCCCCAAGGGCGACACCCCTTCCCCCAGCTCCCTGTACACCAGTGCCCCTGTGGCTGAGCTCTTCAGATTGCCTGGCCTTTGGGGCTTTGGGTAATGGCACTTGACCCATATTGTGCCTTCTGCCTGGCCGTAGGGGATTGTTTGCAGACCTTCAGCAGGGTTAATAAATAAATGATGGGCTTCTCGCTGGCCACAGAAAACCAGCTCAAGGTCAATGATATTGGAGAGCAGGGGTTTCCAGAGCTTGCTAAGATTAAAAAATCATCAGCTCCCACTAACCACATCCCCTCTTTTCTGAAACTTTGAAGCTTTGCTGCTGCAAAGAGGAACACAATTAAGCCTCGATAAAATTTTAATAGCAGGAATTATGCACTCTGCAACCAGCCTACAATTAGCCGTTGCTATGCTACGGGCAGAACCTAATCACGATAATGAGGCAAACAAAGGGAGGGAATTAATCAGGGCTATAAGGTTAGTGCACAGCCGATTCCAGCTCACAGCACTGATTTCTGAAACACAGCAGTCGGGCCCCTGGGAAATCTCAGGCCTGTGCAAGGTTAGATTAGCTGGTGCATATATGGTGTATCCGTGTGTGTGTGTGTGTGTGTGTGTGTGTGTGTGTGTGTGTTCTCCCGAGTCAAGGAGGCTACATGCAATTCATTTCTACCAACACCATGAGGATGCATCCATTTAAAAAATGATGATACTTCTACTTGGTGCAGGAAACCATGCTAGGGTCTGCAAGAGAGGTATCACTGCCCAAGACAGCAGGAGGCTTGCTATGACTTCAAGGGCAGCCTGGGCTACATAATAAGTTCAAGGCCAGCCTGAATGACACAGTGAGACTCTGTCTCAAATAAACTCTAAATAAATAAATATACAAATTCTCAAGCCCATTCCAGAACTATTGAATCAGACTGGATTTTAACCAGATCAATAGGTGATTTGGGTGACACTGAAGTTGAGGTGCCTTGGTCTGGGAAATATGAACCTAGGAAGAGGAACTGTTGTTATCATAACTCGTCTTTCTGCCAGCTTCTGTGTGAGGTGTCCAACATGTGTGAGTCTCTTCATGGACAAGAAGTTGAGGTTCAGAGATGTTAACAAACTTGATCCAGGTTACTGAATGAGTAAGAGGAAGACACAGAGTCCTAATCCCAGGGCTTCTGATTCCAAAGTCTTGGTTCTTAACTACTGGTCTGGAATGGGTCCCGTTACACAGAGATCAAGGGGGAATAAAGACAGGCACAATTCACACCAGTGTATGCTAAAGGGTCACAAGTGAGCAGAGAAACGGGTCATTTTAGGAGATCATAAAGGGACAGTGTTGATGGGGAGGAGGAATATATCAGTCGATATTTACTAGAGAAACATATAATACAAGATACAACAAATGTACAAATATATAAGAATTTGCAAATTGGCTTATGATGGCCACCCACAGGGTAGGGTGTGGAAGAGTTCAAAAGGTCTGTGTGTGCACTAGGAATCTGAAGGATCCGGGGAAGGCCTGGAGCTCCATGTACTGTCCCATGTGAGTCCATATCAGGAGGCTGATAGGTCTGTGACAGAAGACTGAAGGGTCTGTACCAGAAGGCTAAAAGGTCTGTGCTGGAAGCCAGAAGATAACAGCCAAGGTAAAAGTGAAGACTGGAGCTTCTCCAAAGATGACAGAAGGAATCTCTCCTTCTTGTTTCTGTCTTATAGCGTTCTAGTGATAAATCCACGGTGGGTCTTCCCCACCTAGACCTATGGTGAGGCAATTTAGTTGGGCATTATTTACTAAAGTTGACAAAATCAATCCATTATCAAAAGGAAGTAGCACTGGAGCTGCATTTGCATGATAAACAGGATTTATAGGGACTTAATGGTGGGTCCACCTTTCAGGCAGCAGAGCTGGCAGAGCAGAGCTTAATAACTTGCAGCAGGCAGGCAGGAAGTCTGTGGGCTCATGACAAGTACTCTAAGTATGGCACTGATACAAGGCACACACAGCTGGATCATAGGAGGACTTGACTGTCAAGGGGAAGGTGTGGACTTCCTTAGGAAATATCGAGGACCCATGGAGGCTACCTGAGCCAGAGGCATGATGTGGTAGGGCTGAGATCTGTCCTGACTGAGGCACTTCATAGAGAAGACCCAGGAACCCCAAGCCACCATGGGGTGGGTGGGACAGGGGCCCAGACAGAAAGGGGCCATGCCATGCTCCATGGAGAAGGAGATGGGCCCAGTGTTAGACGTAGGTGAGAGTTTCCAGCCTCAGCTCTTGCCTTGGTGGCCGGGAGAAGGTAGAATCAGAGGGAAGGATGGCTGGGGAGAGATGGAGGCGTGGCCAGAGATTATTACATAAAATGCAATCCACAGCCTCCCATCAGTACTCAGGCTCATTCAACAAATGTTTATTGAGGATTGTGAGTGTGGTTTAGTGGTTGAGAGCTCGCCCGGCATCTGAAAGGCCATGGGTTCAATCCTAACAAACAAACAACAGCAAAAAACCTATTCAATCTCATTAGTAAAATCAAATGTTTGTTGAAAGGGTCAGCAAAATGAATAAGGCACAGAAATCAATGACAGTGAGAGCTGATCTTGCAGGGTATGGTGGTGCACATTTGTAATCCCACACTTCGGGTGGTGGCTGAGGCAGGATTGCCTGCCTGAGCAATTTAGTGACTTAGTGAGAACCTGTCTCAGTGTGAAGGCCCTGGGTTCAATCTCTAATACTCCTCCTCACCAAAAATTGGACGGACAGCTGGAAAGCTGATTTTGATTGGGTACTAAGTCCACGCTGTTTGACTTATAGGCCTTACCCTCTGACCTTTATGACAGTCTCCTGAAGTGACTTGTCACCTGGGAACTCCCACCCCAAACTGCTCATTAAAATGACAGGGAGCTAGGGCCGGGGATTTAGCTCAGTGGTTCTGGTGCCTGCCTCGCAAGCACAAGGTCCCAAGTTTGATCCCTGGTACCAAAAAAAAAATGACAGGGTGCTTTAAAACACCACTGCCTGCCACCTCTCAAGGGATGCATGCAGCGTGGAGCAAATGTCCTAGGTCAAAGCAGTGAGGGTCTCAGCTGAATCTCAATAGAACCTCCAATTTCGCCAAAGCCCTTTAGTCAAAGGCCAGCAGGAACAGATCTGTAGTGAAACCGGGTGGGATCTTTATTCATTGCAGAGGGAACACAGTACACCATGGGGAGCCTGGGGTGTGTTTTGTCCAGGTGGTGTTAGAAAGAACTGTTTGTTTTGTTTGTGGCACTGGAGATTGAACCCAGGGCTTTCACACTGAGCTACACACTGAGCTACCCTGGGGGCAGAGTCTCACTAATTTGCTAAGTTGCACAAGTTGGACTCAAATTTGTGTTCCTCCTGCCTCAGCCTAGCAGACAGAAAAGACCAGTTGCATAATGTGGACTTTGATAGGGTCACTTGGGAAGAAAGTTGGAGAGATTCAGCTTGCTGTCAGAAAGCAAGGGCAATTCTACAGTGATCTCAATAAACCTCAGCTGTAGGGAAGGGAGACTATAATGAAGATTTAAGAAGCAGCCAGATCATCCCGACCAAGAGAGGAGACAGTCGGTGTTTCGTGGGTGGCAGGGTGACCTTCTTTTTGTCTGTAATGGGGCCTTGGCCGGTCTCATTTTGTCTCGATGTTAGAGTGAACTGGCCCGAGGCTGGTGCCCTCCCACTTCTTTTGCATCCAGCAGGAAGGTGGCTGGCATAGCTGGGAGTGACCTCGGGCCACTTCCAAAGGTCAAAGGCTCTATTTTCCTTTCTCACCGTCCACACACTCCTTGCCAGCTCCCCAAGAAAAGAAGATACAGTAGGTGGGGAAGAGGAAGAGTGAAAGGATTAACATTAAGAAGGCCAGAAAAGGAGGGAGGAGATGGGGAAGGAGAAAGGTAACCCTATGGACTAGTTTTCCAGGTCTGAACAGGAGCCTTTCAGCCAGACCTGAGTGGCAGAACAGGAAGGAGACATCAGAAGCCATTTGTCTGCTTTGTGTCACAGTGACCTTGCCGCTGCCACCCACTCCTTGGAGCAAGAACTCCTCTTTACCATCTGTTTGGCACTGAGTGATTGGTGATGCTCACTTGGTGTGGAGGGAAGAGGGGAGTGCGTGCATGTACGGGTAAGCATGCCTGCACATTTCTGGCTTACAGAAATCTTGGCCAGTGTGCCTGAGCAGGTTGTCACCCATGGTGTGTGTCGAGGGCTCTCCTTGAATCTGGAATCTCAGCCGCAGGACACCTGTCTGGGGTGCACTGGTGTCCCTTACCAGTAAAGTGTCCTGTGGCCTCCCTGTCTGCACCCCAACTTCCCCATCCCACCTGGCTCAAGGGGCTGATGGCGAAGGTGCCTGTGCCATCCCTTCCTGTGCCCTTCTGGACCTGGCTCCACTTCCTGGCTCCTGGGTTCCTGGACCACCTGTGCCTGCTCTGCCATGCCAGCCTTGAGACACGATGCAGTGCCACCTCCCCCTGCTCCCAGAGGGAGGCCCTTGTCCCTGCCCCTACAGAAAAATGTCTCCCACTGTAGTTGAGGGTTACATGTTCCTCACCTGAGCATCTCTCCTAAGAGACAGGGGCTGGTTTATTTATCACCTGGTCTGCAGCCCCTGGAACTTTGCCAGCCACATAGAGTGCATTTGGTAAATGCTTGAGAAGCAGAGGGAAGGGAAGGGAGAGGACTCCACAGCCATGCCTCAAAGCCCAGCAATAGCCTGGCGGTTCTGGGGGTGCAGAAGATACAATTCTCTCTGGGCAATTTGGCTGCTGAGTGCCCAGAGCAGATTTGCACCTGAGCCAAACTGAAGCTGCTTGCCCCTGTCTTTCTCTTCCCAATTTACAGGGCTTTCATGCAGGCAGGCACAAGCAAGGCAGACCCAGGAGAGTCCTCCATGCAGGAAGAATGTGGGGCATGCAGGCAGCGGGTGTCCTGGGGTGGCTTAGGAAGGCCTGGAAGGAAGGTGTGACTGGCAGGTGGGTCCCCTGTGAACGTGACTTTAACCCACCAACTTTTGTTGCTCTCTGAAACCAGCTCTCCACTGACGCCACAGAGGAAAAAAAAAGGAAAATCTAAAGCAAAGTTTACAGAGAAATGAGCTGTGGAAATGGGGACTAGGAGACACACAATTCACTCCTGAGCTCCCCTGGGGCAAAATCAGAGCAACTTCAGCTCTTCTGTGGAGTGGCTGGGGCCTTGGCCATGGGCAGAGCCCCGGCCACAGGGACGATGTTCAAGTGTAGCCAGCCAGGCCAAGCTCTTTGCCAAGTTTGGCCCATGGAGCTTTTCCATCAGGCGCTTCAGCCCCCAGTGCCAGCAGAGATGCTAACTTAGCAGCAGGGAAGAGCTGGCAGCTTGGCGAGGAGGACCAGCTGTCACCATGAGGCACGGGTGGAGGAATGGAGATAGAAGAATGGAGGGTTAGAGTTTCTTCCTTAGCTCCGATGAGCCTTGGTGGCTAAGACTTTGGGTGTTGCCTCCGGACTATGCCAGGATCCATGCAGAGGGCTTTTCAGAAGTTCAGAGATTCTGACACAGGGAGGGAAGGCTAGGAGTGACACTGAAATGTCCCCGAGTCCACCCATGGGGCATCACGGGACACACGGGGTGAGATCTTGGCAGTCATGATTACAGAGAGGCTTCTCGGCCATGGAGTGAACTATTGGAAGTCACACAGGCCAGGGTTCAAATCCCAGCTCCACCACCTACAAATTCTGTGATTCCCCGGGCCACCCATTCCCTCATCTGCAACAAAGAGGCCATGGCTGTCATGTAAGGCTGGTGGGATGTGGTGTCAAAGTAAGGAAATGGCACCTGGGGCAGGAGTGGGCACAGGCCTGGTCCATCGGAGGTGCCCAAGAATGGAAATTTCTCCCCACCTGCGGGACAGGAACACGCGCTCCTGCCAACACACTCAGACGGCCCATTTCTCATCACAATTACTGATCCCGGAACTTCCCCGTCTCTGCACTCCTCGGGCGTATGTCCTTGGCAGGAAGCAAGCGCTTGGGCCCCAGAGGTGGTCCATGAGTTCCAGATACCGACTCTCCGTCACGGAAGGCAGAACCTCTTCTCAGTCGTCCCAGAGATCATCCATCCAACTGCAGGCTGGGCCTCCATCCGGAGAGGCTGATTCGATGAGTCTCTCTCCATCCCCATCCCCATCCCCATGTTATTGAATCTCATTGCCTCTCTGTCCAGACTTCCGGCCTCCCAAGGTTTCTGCTCCAAGTGATTCATCTCAGAGGCTACCCTGGGAGCCCCTCGTCTGCTGTTTAATTGCAGACAGGGGTGCTGGAGGCCCCTGTGCCTTAATTGCATCTGTTAATGGCCTGATCCTGCATACTGCCAGGCAGACAGAAATGATTAAGGGGATCTTTAAAACCCTAGCTCCCTGCAGCCCTCTCCACTAATTGAGCAGTAGAGGAAGTGATATCGAACTCTCTCTCTCGCCTTTTTTAAAATTAACTCCTGGCTCCAAAGGCCTCCTTGGAGCAGTGCACTGGCCACATGGCTCAGAGCACTCATTTCCAACCCCAACCATCACCTGTCACTTGGGCACGGGGCCCAGTCAGATCATCAGCGGATCTATCCATCACCTGAAGGCTGGGACCACGCTGGGGGAGCAGAGGGGCCTTCCTCTTCCCTGGAAGGTGATATCGCCCAACCTGACTGAACTGAGAGGCGGCCTGAAGGTGTCCCGCTGTCCTCTGAGCCTTGGCTGCCTGTGCTCAGTTCCATTTTTTTCTCACTATGTAGCTCAGGCTGGCCTCAAACTCAGGGCAATCTTCCTGCCTCAGCCTTCCCAGTGCTGAGATTACAGATATGCACCACCACACCTAGTTCAGTCCCATTCTTGATCACTGCTATTGCCTGCTCTCTGATTTGGTATATTCCCTATTTAGAAGCTGGGTCAATCAGCCGGGAATGCAAATGTAGTCAAGCACTAGTGTTCAATAATTTCTCCATTTATCTTGAGTGCAAGCAAGTGACATAGTACCACCTACCAGGCACCAGTGACCTGGCACCTGCCCACCCTGGACCTGTATTCTAGCCCTTGCTCACAAATCCCTGGCCACCCTGGTCCTCTCATTCCAGTTCCCTAAACATCCCATGCCCTTCCAACCCCGGGGCCTTTGCACCTGTTCTGTCCTCTACTGAGAAGAATTATCCTTCACCCTTCTCATGATTGGTCCCTTCTTACCCTTCAGGTCTCTGTTTAAATGTGGCTTTAGAGAGGCCTGCTGCATCTTCAGTAGTTTCATGCCTTTTTATTTTTGAAATGTTGTTGACTTCCTTCAAAGTAAATATCACAGTGTTTTGCCACGTTAGTTTTGCTCTTTTGCTATGTCTTTCTTGTGTCGATCTCCCTAGACTGCAAGGTCCGCGAGGTCAGGATGCTTCTTGTAGTTTACCACTGTACCCCAAGTGCCAATTGGAGAGATTAGCCCTTTCTCATTCATTCAGCAAATAATAACTGGGCACCTACTATGTGCCAGGTGCTCCCTCAGGCACTAGGGAGACAACAGTGAACGTTAGATGGTGACCAGGGCTCTTTGTACCGAGCAGTGCTGACCCTGGGGGCTCGGAGAGGATTGGGATATGGATGTCCCGTTAACAGTGGGGACAACACTAAGCCACGGGTACCACTTTGGTCTGTGAAAATGGAGACCGTCAGTGTTCAGCCTCCTGACCTTGTCCATTTGCTGACTACTGGCCCTCCAGAGTGGACCCAGCTCTCCTGCATGGCACCACTCTGAGCTCCGTGCATCTCCTTCATTGCCCATGGACTCTCCTGCCTGGTGACCCTTTGATTCCCAGTGCAGCCTGGTGGGCATGAAGCTTGGTGCCTGCCTGGGATTCATCTCCCTTTCTTCTGGAGAGAGCACCCTAATTCTTCTTTGGGGACCAATCCCTATCCCAGTGGACACAGACTTGGAAGGACAGTCATCAGTGGCCTACCCTCTCCCAGCCACCTAGGCCCAGGCCCTCTTCCTGAAACTTGAATTCTTAAATGTCAAGACAAAAACATTTAAAGATGGAAGTTCATTTCTTCTGATGAAATGATCTTCTATTCCCGGTACCTGGACCTTCCAGCCACCCACTTCCTGTCCTTTCCCAAAATGTGTCTTTAATGTTTCCTTTCCTTCTGGTCTGCACCACACTTCTAATAAATCCTATTTTCTTTCTGCCATGGGAGCTGGTTTCTGTTGCTTGTCACCAGAGATGTCTGGCAGGTACCAACTGTCCTGACCGCATCACTGTAAACTGAAGGGGGCAGACACAGTCTCTTGCATTAGCTGAGTGAACCTCGGCTAGCTAGGTGAACCTGAAGTGTTTCAGGGCCTCCATATTTCCATATCCATATCCATATCTGTCCATATCTGTGACAATACTAACACATTCCCCCCAGCTACTGGGAGTGTAAGAGTGGAAGTGTTTGCATTTGCAAGGGCCCTGCAATCCCTCCTCCTCCCCTCCTCTTCCCAACCTCTCGAAGCATCCAGGAGGTGATGTGGTATAACAGGGACAGCTGGTCCCTCAGAGGTTGCTATGGGAACCCAGCCACATGTGCAGCATCCCTGGGGTGCCGGGAGGGGCTCTGCAGCTGCTGGGGGCTGGCAGCAACGGCTCTGCCTTTTGGAGCGGAAAGCCTCCGCTGCTCCAGTCCCCCAGTCTCTACTCCACTCAGTTCACAGAACTCGAAACAGAGCAGCTGTTCAGTCTTGGACAGTGGAGTAGGCGGAAGGGCTCTGGGGCGGCCTGGAGCTTCCAGTCTCCCAGAAGGCTGGAGGGGAGAAAGACAGCATCACTCAGCACCAGGTCCTCAGTCAGGAACGAGCCATGAGAAGCCAGTTAGTTGATCAATCCTACGACAAACCTCCAATGAACTGGGGAGGCACGAGGAGGCTAGAGAACCAGGAACATTAGTGGAAGAACTGCAATGAAAATAAAAATAGAAATCGAAAACAGTAAGGACAGCTATCACTGTGGAGCACCTGCCATGTTGGGGACACGCTGCTAAGTTCTTTGCATGCACTATACAGTCCATTGCCACAGCCCTGCCAGGATGTGTGATGGTGCCCATATTACTGACGGTGAGACTGAGATCAGGGAAGCTACAGTGCATGGCGTGGGTGACCTAGCTAGGAAGGACCACACCCGGGTGATCCTACTTGTAGACTAATTTGCAGTCGCACTCACAGCCAGAACTGTGTGGAGCACCCAGTATGTTTTGGGCTCTGTGCTGGATGTGCTTGTGGTTGAGAGGGGCAGGCTGATAAACACACAGGTGACCAGGACCCTGGGGAAATCAATGGCAAGGAAGCTCCCCACAGGAAAGGAAGGGAGGGAGGAGAGAGCTTCACACAGCAAGCCCAGCTCCTGCATCAGGGGATACCAGGAGATCTGAACCTCATCCTGCAGGAAGAGGACCTTTACCCAGGGGAAATGCAAATGCACAGCCCTGAGGGCTGCTGTCTGGATATACACCAGAGGTCATGCATGTATGTGCACACAAGATCCCATGTGCTCACTTGCTCCTTGGAGTTCACCTCGGCCATGTACCAATTCCCTGTCCCAGCAGGGGGGTGATGGGTATGTTTGGAAAGCCTGGCCCCAAACAAGGGTGCAGGACCTGGCATCTGGGAAGGCAGCTAAAGCAGTAGAGTGAGCCAGGATCCAGACATGGAGACAACCACCCACATCACACTGACAGGGTATGATTTCTTCCTGCAGCCTGTGGACAGCATTGCTGATTTTAAAAAAGACTGCACTTTAGAGACCTAGTGTGGAAAAAGGACCAGAGAGGAGAGAGACCCAAGGATGTGCTCTTAATGTCACTGGTCCTAGATTAGGAGGATGGCAGCTCAGCAGCTGTGCAGGCAACATTAGGACAAGGGGAACAGGGCTCAGTATTATGCATCTGTGGTCCCAGCTATTCAGGAGGCTGAGGCAGGAGGATCCTTGGGCCCAAGAGTTCAAACCAGACTGGGCAACATAATGAGATCTGTCTCTTAATAAAAAAAATTTTTTTTTTAATTTTTAAAGAAAGGAAAAGGGAAGTCTAACCTATTTTCTAACAACACCTCCTTTTTCATGAGGAAGCAGCTTCCGCCCTTAGCTGCATGTTAATTGCCAGGGAGGGGGGAAAAAAGCTGTGAAGAGATTGCGAAATAATAGAAAATGTGACTGTAGGTGAGAGTGATTCGGGGACATGGAAGTGTGGTTTCTGAAATTCTGACACCTCCTTCCCTCGCTGTGTTTTCTCTGTTGACCCCAGGAGGTGTTTTCTTTGCTTGTGCATTAATTAGGACACCTCCAATTGAAAGTAGCAAAACAAACAAATACGGCACAGCTTCAGCTCAAACAGCTTATGCAACCAAGGGAAAAGACAAAAGCCTGGAGGTAGGGCTGGCTTCAGATGAAGCTTGATCTAGCAGCTCAAACAGTGGCTCCTGGGACCTGGTTTCTCTCTGCCTGTCATCTAAAATTCAGGCAGAGACTCTGCAGCAACCCAGGCTTTCTCTCGCAGTCACCCATGGCTGACTTCACATCTCTACCTTACTCCTTCCTAGATGGCGGGAGAGGCTCTTCTGGTGGAGAGAATTCTGTTTCCTCCCTTTGTTCCCACCTGTGTACCATTGGCCCTGGGGCTCATACAGCCAACCTCCCCCCAACAAAAGGTTGTGGGTGCTAGGACACGAAGGGGCTAGCCTCCCCCATCTTCACTCAAACTGCATGGCAGATGAAGAAGAAAGGAAGTTTCCTAAGGAAAGGATGTGGACCCGGGTAACCATGGCAACCCTTCTCCCTCCACTGGCTGGACCACTCCTTGTAGACTTGGAGGTTCCTCCTCTCCTCCCTTCCTGAGGACAGGGTCCTTCCAGTGCTACCCTGATCTTCTCTTCCTGCCTTCCCTGACCACCTATTCCTTGGTGACTCCTGAATCCAAGCCTCCTTGACCACTTCCTCACCTCATTCCCCCAACTCTAACCACACCCCAGGCCATCAAGCTTTTTTCGATCCTCTCATTCCTGTCTCTCCCACCCAGCTCCTGATGGGTGCTCAGGAAGAACTGCACGATGGATTCCACTTCTCAGGGGCCTCCTCCCTGGGCACCAGAGGGGCCTCCCTGAGGGCAGAGGACACATCCTGGTCACTGCTGAACTGACCAGAGCCCAGGACAATTCTGGAGCTTGCAGACTTTCACCGAAATGTGCGGATGAGACAGATGGACATGTGACTGACAGAAAACACAGGGGGTTCTTCCTGGGAAAAGGTCAACCTCTCTGAAGTCCAGGAGGGCCTGAGGTCGCCCCAACATCCAGGCTGGCCCTGTGAAGGCTGAGCCACCCTCTTTCCATATGCAAGGGATGCAGAGAGAGGTGGCCAGGAGAGGAAGGATTCTTCAAGACCTTTCCTCTGCATTCTGGGATTCATTTTCCTGAAGCTCAGTGAGTACACTTAGGTCCAGTTTCCACCTAGAGCAGCCAGAAGTTAAATTGCTCCATTTCTTGTTGAAATTCATCCGAAAACAAGCACATCACCACAGGGGCCTGGGGAACAAAGCACCGTCACGGGTGGGAGGCATGTGGGTTAACGACACCTATAATTTCAGCTGCCGCAGTGACATTCAAGTGTGTGTCAGGGAGAAGGGGACGCGCCTGTCTGAAACGAGCTTTAGGAGCTCACGAACTGCATGAACCCTCCGTGATCTGGTAGAGACACACACTGGCAAAGGCACACACGTGGAAATAGCTCCATGGCTCCATGGTTTTGGTCTGTTCCATGACGCTACTTTTATGGGCAAAGATGTGCTATTACTACTTACCGTGGAGGAAGAGGCTCCTTCAAGTCCTTGATAGGCTTAAAATAAACAGCAGGAAGGAGAAGAACTCGTAGTTTTGCTGTGCTCCTGCCTGGGACTCTTGCTGTGCTGGCACCTCACACACATTATCTTATGTAAGCCTCACGGTGATCCTGAAGACACGAGGTCTCATGTCCCCAATCTCAAAGATGAAGAGACAAAAGCCCAGAGAAGTCCCCGTCAAGTGGTGGGTGAGGGACAAAACTGGGATCTCAATGTAAATCTGTTCTTTCCAAAGCCCTTGTGGCACCAGGCTGATGACACAATCACGTTTAGGCCCCAGGGCCTTGGATCGTAGGGGCCTGGGGACTGATCACACTTCTTAGGGCTTAGGCCCCCAAGGAGAAAGCCGAATAACAAACCTGACAAAACAGCCCATTCTTATTATTTGCAAGAATTTTAATCTGTCTATATCATGATAGACTGTAATCCCAGCCCTCTGGGAGACTGAGGCAGAACAATAGCAAGTTTGAGCACACCCTGGGAAATGTAGTGACTTCACAAGACCTTGCTCAAAATAAAACAAAATAAAAAAATTTTAAAATTCATAGCACTTTAAAAATTGAGGAAAAAAAGCCTTTCCAGCTTTCTCCCTGTGTGTTCCATCTTGTATTATTTAGCTAGTTAGAACTTTAAAAAAATACAGAGAAGTACCAAGAAGAAAACCAAAAACGAATCATCATAATATCCCTGGTCAGAAAGCCTTATTGATATTTTTAAAAATCCAAAAATACAGTTAGAAAATTCAAACAGCAAGAAAGTTTTAAAAATTAAATACCATTTCTCTCCTGAAGGCAGTCTTTGTTAACATTATCTTGTGATTTCTTTCAATAAAAGGGAACAAGTATAATCCCATGTATATGACTAGATTTTGTTTTTCACATGAATGGGGTCATGTAACCCCAGGTGTTCTATAGCCTGCTCTTCTTCACTCAAACACGTTGGAGAAAATCTTCCCATTTTAGCACAAAGCAACCCACCTTTCTTTTCTTGAATGCTGTATTAATCATTCTTCTATCCTGGGACAAAAATACCTGACATGCACAATTTAAAGGAGGAAAGATTTATTTTTGACTCACAGTTTCAGAGGGTTCAGTTCATAGTCAGCTGGGTCCAAGGCAGGAACATCATGGCGGAAGGACATGGTAGAGGAAAGCTGCTCACCTCATGGTGGCTAGGAAGAAGAGAGCGTTGTAAAGAAAGTTAGAGAGGAAGGGGCCTGAGACCAGATATTGTCCCCAAGGTCACACCTCCGTGATCCATCCAGACACCCCCAAAAATGTGCTTTATTAATCTCCTAGACATCTCTCCAGCCAATCAAGTTGACAGTCAAGATCACATTATACCCCTTGTCAACTTGACACCCAAATATCTCTTAAACCATACTTAATTTCCACACAGAGGCAATAGCAAGGTCACAGTTCTGCCTGAACAATGTAACTGTCCTGTATACAACTGAAAATACACTAAGTCCTTTCCCAAGGTCTCAAAACTCTCAGCATTGCTCAAAAGTCCAAGTTCAAAGTCTCCTCTGAGATTCAAGGCAAACTCTTAGCTGTGAATCCCTGTAAAATTCAAAAAGCAATTGACATGGATCTAAGACACAATGGTGTAGGGTAAACATTTCCAGTCTAAAAGGAAAGAACAGGGGATAGAAAATTATCAGACCAAATCAAGACCAAAACCTAGTAGGCCAAACATTAAGTCCCATAGCTTTTCACTGCTGTAATTTCAAGTGATTGTTATTATTCTTTTAGAGGTAATGTGTTAATCTGTTTTGTGTTGCTATGCCAGAATACCTGAGGCTGCTTACTTTATAAAGAAAAGGGGTTTATTTAGCCTACAGTTTGGGGGCTGGAAGACTAAGCTTGGATGGCTATCTGTTTGCCTTTGATGTGGGCCTCCCTGGCTGTGTCACGACATGGCAGAGAAGTGGGGGAAGAAATGGTCATGTGCAGAAGAGGTTAAACACATGGGGTGGCCTCACTGTGTAACACCCTGCTCTTGGGGTCATAATCTACTCCCAAAGGACTGTGTTCATCCCTTCTAAGGTGGTTCTCCCATTATCTAAGTACCTCCCACCAGGCCCCACCTCTTAACACTGTCACATTGAAGACTAGGCTTCCAACACAGGGACCTTAGAGGTACAGAAACTGTATGTAAACCGTAGCATGTAGTCCCATCAAGACCCCAGAAGGGGAAAGGGAACGGATTGGTTTCCTCTTGCTGCTGTATTCAATTGCCACAAACTTAATGGTTTCAAACAATTCAGATTTGTTGTCACGCAATTCAGGAAGTCTGGAGTCTAGAAAGAGCTGGCAGAGCTGGGTTCCTTCTGGGAGGTCTGGGGGACCCTCTACTAGCTAGTGGAGACTGCTTTAGCTCATGGTCCCTTCCCCATCTTCAGAGCTAGCATCATCACATCTCTGGACTTCCTCTTTTATTTCTTTTTTGGTACCAGGGATTGAACTTGGGTCCTTATGCTTGCGCAGCTGGCAGCAAAACCACTGAGCTAAATCCCTGGCCCACTGGACTTCCTCTTACCAGGAATCTCGTGTTCACAGAGGCCTTCTCAGATGGTTCAGGAGAAGTTCCCCATTTCAGGATTCTTAACTTAATCCAGCCGCCCAGGCCCTCTGGCCATGTAAGGTAACATGTTCTCAAATTCCAGGATTAGGACAGGAACATCTTTGGGGAGCCATTATTCAGGGAAAATGGAGAGGAGACACATGGGAGGGAGTGGAAACATGGCTCCCAAGGACAGCTGTCCCCTTACCTCAGCATTCTGGAGTTTCTACACTGGCTCTGCCAGGGCTATCACACCGTGATGGTTGTTTCTTATTCATCTGCCCGCTATGCACATACACATTGAGCCTGGACAATCTTTGGGTCTCAGTCAGGCACCTGTGGCAGGAAGTCCCCTCCCCTGGCTGGGTCTGTCCTCCTCACAATGCTCCTGGAAGCCTGGGGCCAAGTGTTGATCTTGCTGTGACGGCGATGGTGGTGGTGGTTATTGTATCCCCAAAAATATGCCCTGCCGGCCACCTCAAATCTGATCAGACAGAGAAGGAAGGAGAGAGGGACAGAAGGAAGGAAGGAAAAGAGAAAAGAAGCAAAGAAAGGGAAGAGATTGGAAGAGGGAGGCCCTGCTCTTCCCAGCCCCCAGTTCTCCTTGCACAGCGCTGTGGGATTGCTCACCCCTTCTCCCCACAGGGTCTCCCCCACTCTAGGCTTGGCTGAACCCCTTACCCTGCAGGTGACGAAGCCTTCTAAGAAGACACTGTTCACAGGCAGGGGCTCCAGCAAAGACTCTGCGGGATGACCATGTCCTAGTTTCCCCTGAGCACCAGTGCCCTATTTTCTATTTGGCAGAACCCAGGAGCCAGCAGGGAAGTGAAGCTGTCTTTCGGAATTCTGCTAGGAGGCTCACAGAGCAGGTGAGGGCAGCTCTGACCTCCCCGGGGCTCCAGGCACCGTGTGTTGTTCACCCATGTCATCTCAGAAGGCAAGAGGATGGTTGGGTGACTCCTTCCCCTTACTCTGAGGCCACCAGCTATACAGCCTCCCTGAGAACTTGGCGGTAGAATTTTTTCCCCTCTTTTTTCTTTTTTTTTGGTACCAGGGATTGAACTCGGGCCCTTGCGCTTATGCAGCAGGCGGGGCAAAACCACTGAGCTAAATCCCCAGCCCTTCCCCTCTTGATTATAAAACCAGCAAATGCCTCTTATTCCTAAAAAAGCTGACCATTCAGGAAAGCACAAATCAGCAGAAAAATATGATTCCCCCAATCTACCACCTGGAGGCGCCATAGTTAACACGGTAGCCTGTTTCCTTCTAGTCTTTTTCTGTGCACATGTATTTGTAACTGCTGGGACTGATTCCTCCTGGTGTCTTCTGGGGCCAGATGCTGAGAGGTCTTAATATATCCAGGTGGTTTGTCCCAAGGGGTACCCCCCACGAAGGGGCTGCTTCAGCTCCCCAACCAGGGCGGGGGTTGCAAAGACTTTCTTGGGACTTGAAGGAAGATTTCTGCTCTTTACTGAATGAGATCAGGGGAGCCTCTGGGTCTTAGGATTGGAGTCATGGTTGGTGGGGCTGGGGAGACGAGGTAGGTAGCACCTGATGTTCTGTGGACCTTCGCAAGGTCTCCTATATGGATATGTTCCCTCTTCCTCTCTTCCCATTGCCCCTCTGGCTATTTGACTCTTTCTCCCCAGAAACCCAGCCCACCACCTTTGGGAACAACCCCTCTTCCTAAACTAGCAAGGGACTCTTGACTTCCCATTTGTGTCCCCACATTTCCTAGGCTGTGGCTCTGGGTGGGCACCACAGCCAGCTGCTACAAAGGGGAGGGTACAAGCAGGATCGGTCTGGGTATAGGGCCTTAAGAGCCTTCGCTTTAAACCGGAGCGGCTCACCCTAAAGTGCATGTAAAATCAGACCAATCTCTCTACCCAATGACTAACCTCTTTCAGGAAAAGCACAAATAATATTTGACCCACATAAGAAATGAACATTTCTCTTGGAACTATGCTCATAATTCTGTTTCCTGTGAGCAAACGCTCTGAGATCAGAGCCCAGAACTTTCACTTCCTCTCTGTCCCAGTGTTAGACGACAAGATACCCTGCACTATCCCGACAGCAAAACGGATCATACCCAAGTTACTGGGAGCCTTTAATGGTTTGGAAGGGAAATAGGGGTAGAGGGAGGCAGAGAGGGACCGTGGAGAGAGGTCTCTGGGTCACACTTATTTTTAACATGTTGGAAATGACACAATTTTGTATTTTTTTCACAATACATAAGCATTCCCCCCAGTTTTTAAAAACTCCCCAGACACCAGATTTTCTCTAAGCACCACATTAAATGAAGGTCTATGATTCCATTGCAGAGAACAGCCGTGGTTCCTGGAATTTTTTAGAGCAGAAAGCCCTAAAGACTGGGGGAGCCAATATTTCTCTTGCTAAAGTAAAACCCTACGGGCTCCAAAGCCAACTCTATAATTGCTGGGGACTTTCCAGAGATATCGCTCCTGGTGCCTGATTGGAAATAGTCCTCTAAGTTGCCAGAACTGGGTGGAGAAGGCTAGGGCAGGCTTGGCTGTACCCATGTAAGTGAAGCCTAGAAGCACATTCTAGAAAAAGCCACGGCTAAAGTATAAAACCAGATGCAAAAGTATTTGGGTTACAGTTAGTGCTGCTGTGAAGCTATCCCAGCAGGCAGAACTGGAGACATTAATCCGGGACATGGAGGGGACGGGCCTGGAACAAATTCCGGAGCTTTAAACTCTGACCTTCCCTGATATTGTGTAACCCTCACTTCTCAAACCTGGCCACGGTTTAATAAAAGCAAAGGCTGGGATTTATTACAAATGAGTAGAGAAAAGAATCAGACTGTACTTTTTAAATTTTTAAAATTTTTATTTGCTCTCAATAGTCGCGGAGCAATTTCTGCCACTTGGGGACCCCAGATGCCTTCTGGGGCCTGGTGGGCTACCTGACTTCCGTTAGGTCCCCTCTCCTCCTGCAGGAGGTTAGGATTCTACACTGCTTAGTCAGGATGTGGCAGTGGCCACTGCCGTAGCAACAATTCTGCAGACCAGCTTGTGTAAGCCAGGCCCTTGTGTTTGCTTTGGCTTGGTCTTGTGATCCTGTCTTCAGATCTTATCAGGGAGAGTCGGTAAACAGGACAGAAATTTTGGAAGGACAAAGAATTCACTTTTACCTGCCCTGTTTCCTGAGTGTCTTGAGAGAGGGATGGGAGGCCATCAGGAACCCCTCTACCTTCCTAGCTGGTGCAACCCAACAAATGAGGCTTGGAAGTTGGCCGGAGGAAGCTCAGAAGGGAAAGGAAGCAGGTCTGCATGACCTCACAGGCAGAGCCCAGTGGCCAGCCATGCATGTGATATCACACACCCAGCATCCATCAGTGTCACCTCTACCCACGCCCTGAGCAGCCCTCTCCCCTCTGCCCTCCCCAACACCAACTCTCCTCCTGTCCTCTCTGGGCTCTTTGCTGCCTCCTATGCCATCTTCCTAATCTGAGAACTGATTTGGAGGTGGTGTAAAATGAGGAATCCCCTCTTCTTTTTCTGGAAAGAATCCGAGAATGAAAAGGGAC